GTAGATCACTTCATGTGTGTTCATACTAATAATTGCATACCTTCGTTAAGAAAGACAAATCTCACTTTTGTCTAATCCTTCGAGTGACAAGTCTTCTTAATTCTCTTGTGTAAAAATAGGAATATGATATGTATCTGATTTTATGTGAGGAAGCTGAGTGAAAAATATTCTCAGATATTTTCCCCCACCTTTTCACAATCATCTGCAATACAGTTTGTTTGCTTGAACCTGGTGTAATGTATAGCATGAAAACCTTAAGGGTGCTGATAACTCAAATGCAGATCTTTACAAAATCAGGCCCTGGTGGACCATACTCCTGAGCCGCTACATTATCTAAACATGAGATTGGTGCCATAAAACTTTCAATGTTTTCTGTGTTAAATCAAAAGATGACTCTGTTGGCTTCAACTTGTTCCTGCTCCTTCTTAGGTCACATTTCCTTTACATTATACAGAAGAATTTTGTCCAATGGGAGTTGACTCCATGGTTCCAAAATAGCAGAAAATTGTTTTGCGATTAGAATTTTGTATAAGGCACAGGCTGAGTGCTTCTAAGTTTGGATATATCATATATTTGAGTATTAATTACTCGCTATCGAATATCTCCAGACAAAATTTAGGCTCCACCCTATTATCATGGCTTCTTCCAGTAGCTGACACCGCTGAATAGCATGTTTTTTACTTTTTCTGTCTTGCTGTGCCACCTGCAAAGAAGAGGAGAAGTCCATTTTTAGTGCTACTTTGGGAATACATCATTTATTCAGCCATTTTGCATTATCTACAGATTCCACTGAAACTACAGTTTGCTTAGCTTTAATACTATGACAGGATTGTGTGTCTCTGAGCTCATCAGCTAAGAATAACAATGGCCCCAAAATGTCCAAACTGAAAGTAATAATAAAATGTGAGGAGATTTAATTTTGATTTCTGATCCAAAATGAATATGCTCGAAAAGTTTAGGAGGTTTCCATCCCGTCATCCTGAGCATATCCTAATGGGCTGTGGCACAAACTCCCTTGCATGTCCAGCAACACAAGTTCATATCAGTCTTGCTATTTATGTTTAGTATTTTAAAATCACTTTCATACCATTTTTATTTAGGTTTCTTAATCCTTATTCACCTAGATGAAATGTGATCAACTCCTTTGGCCTGAGCGTGGTCCAGAAGAGGTGCCTATTGGTGCCCAGGCACTAGGGTCACCATGTTAAGGATGGGCATGGAGACACTAGAAGTTGCACACTCTATAGACAGCCCTTTGAGTATGGCTAACTGTGTGCACACAGAAAACTGGCCATAGAAAATACAACTGCTAGAGCATCCAGAATCTCCACATGTATTTGGTGCTTCCAGTTGGAGATCTTCCATAAGGTTAAAGAGGTAGAGATGCTCCCTACTACACTGCATAGTTCTAAATACCTTAATTAGAATATATTTCTTGAAGAGAGGGAATCAGTGGAAGGGGAAATATCTGAATAGGGTTGTTGTTGAGTGAGGAGAAAGGGGACCTGGTCCCTGGCTGAAAATAATGGACAGTTGTTGGAATCATCACTGAAAAATGCTCCACATAATTTTCATTTCTGATAACACTGTTAAAAAAAAAAGATGGTTTGGTAAAACAAGCATGTTGCTCACATAGTAAAGCATTTGGAAATCACATGTCATTTGATTGGTTTATGTTATGGCTGCTTGCAATCAGAAGACAAAGGAGAAAGTAACAACACAGTTGCAGGAATGGTCAACTTCTGGTCTGAAAGCAGATGGAAATTGAATCATAGGAAGAATTTGAGAATTCTTGGAGTACTAAGAACATGGTCCAGATCCAGTAAAAGATCTTGTAGTTGTTAGGATGTAACATGCAAGGCTGACTCTTCCTTACCACCATGGAGAGGGAGACTTGCAAAATCCCGAAGCCATTTCCTGGGACCATTGGATTAATATTTTACAGCACTGCAGAATCAGTAAACATTCTACAATATCAAATTAGTATTCAACAGTGTTCAAAAAATACAATGAGACAGGAGGATTGTGTTAGAACAGGAATCTTTTTTCAAAGCTCTGTTAGCTGAACACTTAATGGAAGCCCTTGGCTAGCCTTATTCTGATGCTGTAGTGAAGATGACCATACCTGAAACTGCATTTTTATAGAATTTAAGAGAATGGAAAATGGGGATCAGACAAAAAGAAAAACGTTTGCTATTATCCCAACATGTCTAACAACATTAAACAATTTAACAAGAGACAATGTTTTCCTCCAGGTAAATGATGATTAGCTGACACAAAAGACCCAAAGCCTGGAGTCTTGCCAGTGATTCCAGTAGCTACAGAAATTGAGCTCAGATAGCAAATCACCCAAAACAAAAAGCAATTTATTAAAAAAGAAATAACATAGTGCATGTAATTAGCTACAAGAAGCATAGCTTTACGTGGCAATGATCAACAGCTTCATTAGGTGTGTAAGGTCCCAACGCAATGGTTAGTTCACATACAGCAGCATCCCTGACGGTTTACATACCTCACTGTATCTCACAACCTCTTTTTGTTTTTTTATCTCCAGTATCAACCACCGCTTTTAAATCAGTGTCAACCACTGCTTTCAAATAAAAGAGAAGACACTAAATGTAGCCACAAGATATTAGCAAAATCCACTGCAACAACAGTCATGGGATTAAAGTCAGTGGGCGAGGAAACAAGGGTCCCTCTAGATCTATGACATTTTAGTTGGTTAAGTTAGAATCGATCAAACTTGCGCATGAATTAAAACAACAGCTTTGAAACGAAAAGCAAATTCCACATTTATCAAATGTATGTGTGTGCAGCAGGTGCTGTATCAGAAGAGGCATTCTATTTGGGATGCAAGGTAGCAGGGAATATTTTTGTAAAAATGATCCATGCCATCTACATTTTTATAAATACTTGCATTCACATAATGTTAAAGCTCCCCTACCCCAAATAATCAGTTGATCGCTTAATAAATCAAATGATCTATTTGTGAAACCAACTTTTCCAAATCTGGATCCTTCCAGATAATTTGGGTTATGTCTGCCTATTGGGCATGCTAGATCAATTTGATGGGAGTTGTAGTTGAAAATATCTGGAGGGATCCAGGTTAAGGAGGTCATCTTGATTTGGCCCTAATGTTCAACAGCTGCAATGAAAATGCCTTACTTGAATGGCTCTTGCTGTGCCTCTTTTTCTTCTTTCGCTTTGCTGAACTTCTTTGGCCATCTTTTTCAGCTTGGGCTTGTTCTGAAGGTACTGTTGCCGAATATGAAGAATCAGTCACTGGTTCTTCTGAGAAGGACTTCTCCTGAGAAGTGTCTAAGAAGGAGTCTGAGGATGGGTCTTCATTTTCTTTTGATGCTTCTGGCAGTGCCAAAGTTTCAAGGGCCACTTCTTGAGAGGCTGTGAACTGTTTGTTATTTCCAGGTATTTTCTCTCCTGTGTCATCTTTTCTGTTAATACTCTTTACCTGGTCATTTGAATTTAAACCGTTCCATGAGCTATCAGGTTCAGTTCTACCAGCTGGGTCCCCTGAGTCAACTGGGCCCGCTTTGATCTCCAGGCTGGCTGAATGCCCTGAGTCACCACTTGTAAACTTTACAAAAGAAGTGGACTGAGACAACACTAAATCATGGTCATTAGTATCTTGAAAGGAATGGGAGTCATGTCCTTCTGGCAAGTTTGTTCCATTTGGGGCTACTCCATTTCCCTCCAAAACAAAGGAATGTAAGGAGCCCTTCTTGGAATCAGGCTGGACTGGAGAGGAGGTACCATTTCCAAAGGAATCAGGTGGTTTCTGGGAAACCATTGAGTCAGCAGCCATCTCAGATTTCTCCTTTGTGGTAGCACCTTCTGAAGGTGTGGCATTTTCTACATGATCCTGGAAATTATTATGTGCCCTCGAAACATCTTCTTCTTGCTTTGGGTCTTTCACATCCTGAACACTTTGACCTGAAAATCAATGACATATATAAGAGTTAAACCCAACCCAAATAGTTGTAGTTTGGATTGTGAAAAGGTTGCCACTGAATCATCCCGTCTTCCCCATCAAAAACAAATTGAAATAGTAGGGAGAAAATAGTGATAATGTGGGAATTATTGCAATCACAGTGTGAGAGATTACTTTATTCTCTTCTGAGCTGAGAGTTTTCCTCTCGTCCTTTTTCTTAGCAGTAAGAAAAATAATAATGTTGACATAATGGGAACTCCCCCCCCCCGCCCCAGCTATTGCAGTGTGCAGCAGTGGAAAGAATTTACAGGAACTATAGCTGGGGAGGGAAAGGTAAAATTTCCCTCTGTTCCTCCTTTGGTCTTGTCATGTTAACCCCTCTGCCTCTGCAGCACATACTGTTAAAAAGACCCCCCCCACCCCACCCCCCAAAAAAGACAGTGTTGCATTTATCTTCATATGCCCTACACATGTAATTAATTGTCTTTACTTAGAGGCCTAAAACAAAAGGTGGTGTTTGGGGGCTGTATTACTTCAAAATGTAGATGGAGGCTGAGTTCATAGAATGTTCTTCCATAAACAAACACACAAGCATATTAGCGCATATAAAGCTATCATTTAAGGAGAAGTATTCAGTTCTGTCTTTTTTAACAAATGCCAGGTTTTGTTTTTTAACATATTGTGCATGTACAGAGGAACCCTCCTGTCATTTGAGCTCCCACCTGTGATCTGTAAAAATACCTTAGTAAAGTTCAAATAATAAAAACTCAGTTCTGAACAGGATTCAACAGCTGGGCTTTAAGCTACTAAATACAATCCTTAAATCACTACAGGATATAGATGTCCTATGTTGGTTTTCTAACTCTGTTTCACAATTCAAGTTTTTCTGTCCCGGCTTCCATCATGTGTGTCTGTCCGTGCATGTGTATTCACATGAGCGGTGGTGGTGGAAAATTTAACAACTTCATGTTGTCACTCCATTGGGCATGGAGGACCACTTTGGGGAGGTCAAATTCAGGTTTACTACAGCCTATGATATGGGTCTGCCTCAGCAGGGCAGTACGTGACTGACCTCATCTGCGCTTGAATGGGAGACCACTAGGGAATTCCATGGCTGCAGACCAGATTGGGAACAAAAAACAAAAGAATCCTGAAAGAAGGCAGTGGTAAACCACTTTCATATTGTTGCCAAGAAAACGGTGCGGATGTATCCCTGAACTTGCCAGGAATCAAGCTTGACTTGGAGTCTTTTCTGCTCTTAATGATATGGTCCGCACTAGACCTGACCACATGAGGGCGCTTTCCAACAAATATGGCTTTCATTTTTACTTGGAAAAGGACCTAGTGCAATGAGCAAGTATCCCCAAACAACGTTCCAACATTAAAAAAAGAAAGAAAAGAACTTTGCTAGCTAGCGTTATACTGTTCCCAGTTCATACTATTCTCTTTTCCCATAAACATTTGCAATTTTAGCAATAAGGAGAAAAAAAATAATTTCTGGACACTGAGGTGATGTTGCTTCATGCTGTTCTCTTTGTGAATGTTTTTGAAAGGGGTTTGAGATAAATAACAAAAAGAAGACAATGAATACAGTTCTTCCTTGTTCTAGATGGAAACAAGCTGGCCCTTTGTGTGTTAAACAAGGGAAAAAGAAACTCACGAGCTTTTCTGGATTTCTGTTCTTACCAATCACTTTGCCTCTCTGAGGTGTGGTTTTCACGGGAGTGTCTGTGCCGTTTTTGTTCCTGTTTGTTTTCCGCAGCTGGAACCCTTTCCGTATATCAGCCAGCAAAGCATCGATAACACACACTTCCTCTTGCTTCACAGCTCCTTTCTTAACTAGAGTTGGAATTGGGAGAAAAAGTGAGTTGGGCAATCAGACTGAGAGTGTGGATGGACTGGAGGCCCTGCAGTTCTCTGAATTTTGTTCTGGATGCCATTGATCAGTAGTTGCACCTGCAAATCAACTCAGTAAAAGCTGTGGTTTGGGACCCGGGAAAAAGCAGCCCAAATGCGCTTCATCCTTGCAATTTCTGACACTGCACCACCAAGTAATTGTATTTATGCAAATAATCCCATCCAACCACAGTTCTGTTTCTTTCTCATTAGTGTTTCATTTTCTGGCTGTGTGGGGGAATTACAAAAACATTCCAGATGTCCATAAACTGAAAGTATTGATAAATGGGAGAGACGGAGCAGAACTGTGCACTTAGTTTGGTTCTAGCAGCTCTCGCTGAAACTTGAGCACAGCAAAACAGGCAACTATAGTTCATGTTACTTGGAGAGTGTTTACCCGGAATGCTTAACTTTATTTCCTTACTAACTGCATTATGCTTCAGTGCAGCAAATTATCATGTAAAGAGATTATTTTTTCCCTTGCACCAAGGCTATATACATTACTGTATTATATTATAGGTGCTAGATCGTACTTGCACAAGTTTCTTTGTGTGTATCTCTTTTGTGTGTGTGTGTGTGTCCATCCATCCATCCATCCATCCATCCATCCATCCATCCATCCATCTATCTATCTATCTATCTATCTATCTATCTATCTATCTATCTATCTATCTATCTATCTCACAGACACACATGTGTACACATACGTATTCTTATTCTTTTGTTAGAATTATAACTTGCCTGGTGTTCAAAGTGGTGTGCATAGCATTCCTTCCTCCGTTTTTTCTTCCCCTCCAGAAACCTATTGTGAAATTGGTCGGGCTGAGAGACTACACCTCACCTAAAACCTCAGGATGGGTTTGAATGTAGGTCTCCTTAATCCTAGTCCAACACTGTAACTACTACAGCATCCTGGCTCTCAGAAGTACCTTCCCCTAAACTCAGCGGGGCTTATTCCAGGCTAAATGGTATCTGGCCAAAGACGCACTGACAGCAGTACCTGAGATTAAATACTTCCTCACACAGATACTACAATTCCATACAGATTAATTAAGAAGTAAATTCTGTTGAATTCAATGGCCTTGCTGCCAGATATATGTAGGCTTATAGAACCCAAGTCAAGAAAAACCCTTAAATTACTCACTGATTTTTCCATTTTCCCCTTTTTGCCTCTTAGCTTCTTCTTCCTCCAACTGTTTCTTCCTTTTCTCAGCTCTGGCTGCTTGTTCCTTTCGGTCCTTGTTTTCCTGTGTATGGGAAACACAGACATGCAAAAGGCACATCTAATTTTTGCCTGATTTTCACCTGTCATATTACAATATTCCACATTGGGCCTACTTCTATTGCAAAGAATTTGCCTATAGTCCAAAGACATGTGCATCTTTTTAACTTTGCTGCAGGAAATTCCCTTTAGCTAGCATACTGAGTCACTGGTCCAGGTCAGACTGAGGTTTGTAGGTCCAGGAGTGCACTATGTATTAAGTGCTCCCTTCTTGGGTGCCCAGAGTTTCTAATTTGTTAAACCAGTTTCTTCCAATGCCTGAACAAGGAAACTGTGGCTAAAGTCCATCATACAATTCTGATTTACAAATCACAATTAGATCAACTTTATTTAAGACAAATTATATCCTACACATCTTTTGGAATCCCAAGATTCAGGGTGTCTAATTATGGAATCAGAACTAAGAAAAATCAGTCCATAAAACTAAAAGTAAGTAAAGAGGGAGAAGTAGCACAACATAAAATAATTTATGTTTTTTAATAGATGTGAGATACTAAATCCCATCAAGAGGGCAGAAAAAGGGGACAATAAGATGAGACCCAAATTATAGCTGAACTATCAAGATTCAGAAGCGCTTAAACACTTCCAAAATCTTGCAGGAAAATGCATGGGAAAAATACAGGCTCAGTAAGAAGGAATGTGTATACTTTGGTTAAGCAATCAATTCCCCAAGAATCATCCTGAAACTATAGTCCTGGTATTATTTTAATATCAATTTTCTGATTATGCATAGAAATGGATGTTCTGCTCAGTAAAAATAGAACTGCTCAAGACTAGGAATTCTTGCTCTCTATTTGTGTTATTTTTATGTCCACATATGCATTGTGTGTATGGAGGAAGAAAAATGGATCATGAGAAGAAAGGGAATGAGGAGAGAGGGGGACATAAATCTCCTCTTATACTGTCCCTAGTGGTGCCAACTCCAATGAGCCTGCTGTGGATTTTATGACTTTTTTTCCCTCAAAAAGTTTTTAAGAACGTTGAAGATGAGTGCTATATTTGCAACCTCCTGTGCTGTACAGAAGTGTTTTGAAATCAAATCGAAAATGCTGCACACTCACAGCCCTCTAGTTTTTGTGTGTGTGTGTGTGTGCGTGTGTGCGCACATACATGTAGTCTGAAATGATACCATCCATCTAAGGATTTCCCAAGACTTTTGCTGTGCATCAGAATGAGGTCTCACAACAATACTGATTGTATTTTCTAATGTCTCAAATACAAACCTTTAGTGCTTTGATGTAGAGATCCCGGAAAGTTTTCATGGTGTTAAATATATCCTCCAAAGACAATTTGTTTGGATCTTCGCAGAGGTAGTTGGCAAGCTCCATCCTCTTAGCTTCAATGAGTTCAAACTCAAGCTCCAACTTTTTGTTAGCACTTAAACTATCCTGGAAGAGATTGAAATTGAAATTCAAAAAGGATCAGCTAACTTCATGGAAACATTGGAGATGTCCTCCAAGGAGAGCATGAAGTGTAACTTCAGCTTGTCTTACACTAACCTGAATAGCTGTTCCATATTGGGTTTTCACTTCTTCAATTGAGGACGACAGCTTCCGTTCAAGTTCCACCAATTTCTTTATATTGGAGCTGGATTCAGAATGAATCACATCCAGATTGATTCTGAAAAGAAACAAGCCATATGTGTTGCTTCTGCATCTATTGATTCATAGGAACAAAGTGGGAATTCTGTGGACATGGTGGGACTATACGACCCTAATTGTACAGAAAACAACTTCAGAGGTTTTGGGTTATTCATATGGAGGCTCAAACAACAATTCTCTTGCCATGAAAAAGTTTTTGATGATGAATATTGAAAATCCTATTTTAAAGTATGATTAGTCAAATTATTTTTACTTGTTAAAGATGGCATGATTTATTGGCTAGGGTTTTCTTTTTTTTTTTTGCAATAATAATTTAAGAAAGAAATATGCCCAGAAAAACACTGTATGCCAAATATATAAGCAAAAATACAGTGGATACCTACCCAGCTGCCTTTGAAACACATTCAAGATCTTTGGGGAGCTGAAGCAAATCAGTATGATTTTTTTCCACTTCCTAAACCAAAAAAAAAAAGGAGAGAAAATATTAAAATTCCAGTTATATACTTGCATGATTTATGACGGCTGCAGTTTTTCTGCATGTTAACCCATTACTCAGAGATAATAAACACTGGCTGCCTGCCACAGACTAGTTAAACAGAGATCTACCAAAGGGGTGATCTCTCTGCTCAAGTACACCTGAACATACATGGTGATTGTGGAAGCATATGAGTTTCTAGCATTGGATGAAACTGAATGAGGTAGAATCAGCCTTCAGTCCTCTGAATCCAAAACACCTTAACTATTAAGTGTAGATGGATCTGGATCAATGAGCGGGAATTAAAAACAAGTTTCAAAGGGTTGCTACAAAAACCTCCAAGCATCTTGTGTGAACAGTAAAATGGTGATCAGGGTAAAATATACTGCAACTCAACCAACTGGGACTCCATTTATCTGGACTGAAAGGATTGGGCCAGCCGCATATCGGGGCAGATTGTTCCAAAAAGCAAGGGCTACCACTACTTTTGATGAAATGGACTGTATTATGCCAAAATACATTTGTTAATCTTTATGAAAATTCAAGACTCAGTTTAAAAAGCTGCCACAAAGATCTACTAGGAAGGTAAAAGGAAAAGATCTCCCCCATCTCTAGGCTGGACAGGATTCTAAAACAGAGAACTGCCATAATTTGGGTCCTGCTTCTGTGCCTAATATTGTTCTGCAAGGATGTCTTATATTCCCTTGAAATAGCCTCAGCACTATAATTAATGGCAGAGAGTAAGATCAAAAAGTGCAAATAACAATCTGACAAAAAGTTTGACCGGCATTAATAAGAAAGCAAAATAAATCTATAAAGATAGATGAGCAAGAAAAACACTCTAGAAAAGTCATGAAGAAATATTTTGTGTAAGCAAAAACAAAGTTTGTGCGTATGTACTTGGCAAAGACCTATTTAATTAAATACCATCTCCCTCAAGTACTTTGTAATAAAATTATTAGGGAAACAAAAAACAAAATAAAAGAAGACACTACCTTAAACAGATGATTTCTGGCTAGTATACATTTTAGTTGGATCAGTTTCTATCTATTGCTAATTTATTTTACTATTACTGTTAAATTTCTCAATGAAAAACAGCAGAAAATACCTCTAAGATGTGGTGGAGCAGTGTAATACGAGTCTGGTTTGCTTTGGTTTCTGTTAACTTGAGCAATGTACCAATTTTAAAGCCATCAGCATCTCCTGTGTGACTTCCCTTTCAAAGGAAAAAAAACACAAACAAATAATGCTGTATTTGCTTCTCTTATAATGCTGGTTTGAGCAATATTTGCAAAACAGGCAAGAGGAACGATACATTTTTACTCATCATTTTTTAAATGTGCATTTTTTCAAGATTGCTTACATAGTTCAGGAAGTTTCCAACATTGAGGATCAATTGACAGAAAATGGGCAACCGACGGCTTGCGCGGAGATCTAAAAGGAAAGAAAGCCTGTTAAATAGGTGAACATAGATGGCATGGTGAAAATGTCAATATTAATTAAATGAGTGTCTTCACTTTCTAAATAATGAGCAATAAATGTTGGAAGAATGTTGAAGAAAATAATGCTGCAGGTATAGATGGTGTAACTGGAGAAATGTTTAAATGCGGAAGTTGTTTTCTTATGGAATAGATGTATGATTTGTTTAGTGTGTTGTGTGAAGACTGTACCCATGTCTAATGATTAGAAGAATGTGGCTACTGTTCCTTTCTGCAAATGTAAAGGGAGCAAGTGTGAGTGCAAAAACTAGAGCGGGATTTGTTAGTTAAGTGTGTCCAAGAATTCTACTGAAAGGGTACAAAAGGTGATGATGAACAAAATCTGGGAAGTACAGTGCAGCCTTATGCTGGACAAGAGCATGCAGACCAGATTTTTGTTCTTTGGGAGATCACTGAAAAATTTATGAATGTGAGAAAGAATTTTTAATCTGTGTTTGTTGATTTAGAGAAAGTGTATAAGAAAATGAATAGGCTTGAAGTATGGTGTCTTTTGCATTAATATGGAATTGAAGGTTATTTGTGGAGTATCATAATACTGGTATGTAACCAAAATAAACATTGTGTGAGAACAAATGTTTTAGCAAATTGTGCACCAAGCAGAGGGTTGGACTAGATGTCATCTGAGATCCCTTCCAGCTTGATGATTCTATGGCTGCAAGTTATACATAAGTGGAAAAAAATTAGAGCAGGTGACTGAATATTTACTAAAGATGGGAAAATGGATGGAGAAATGTTATAATGTACAAATGCTGACACAAAGCTAGTTGATATGTTGTGGTCTGTTTTAAGGAATGAATGCTTATCAAAAGAATTCTTAAAAGGCTGTGTATGAAAAAAGACCACTTTGTTATATATTGTAGAAGTGAAAGTTCAATGTCAGGAGAAACAAAGATAAGCTGAATGCAATGAGAACGGGTTGTTTAAGAAATGTGCGTGCTGAAACAAGAAGAGATAGCATAAATGGGTGCTGAATAAGCACTGACTGCATGCAGTATAGAAGTGATTGATCAGTATAAAAAAATACATTGAGGTGGTTTGGTCATAAAGATAGAAGGACTGAAGATCAAATCATAACGAAACAACAATTTATTAAACTTGTATGCTGCCTGACACCCAACGACTCTGGACAGCTCACAACAATCAAACAAAGAAATGACAATAATAGCTGGCAAGTGTGACGGACCAGATGGAATGAAGTGAGGGGTCTCTCTCTCCCTTGCCAAAGGCCTGGGTGAAGAGCCAGGTCTCCACTGCTCTTCTAAAAAATGGCAGAGTGGGAGCCATCTGGATCTTGCAGGGAAGAGAATGCAAAGGAAGAGTAATGGGTTGAAAGGAAGAGGGATGATTGGATGAAACTGATAAGATCCTCAAATGGGGGAATGGTATATAGCTGTGACAGAATAAAGAATAAAAGGGTATGTAGAGATATGGTGTATGTTG